CTMWWRTKYWCRCGCTAAAAAACCAAAGTCCCAGTGGAATTTGGGAAGCAGCTAATGAACTGCAAAGCTGACATCTGTAACTGCCGGCCAGGGATAACCTTCTCCCCAGCTGCACAATTAAAAGTTGGAGCATTTAGTGCAATAACAAGGAAAGTTACTGCTATTGATTCAAACCAGCCCAGATCCTCCAGGGTGGCTCCACAGGACAGGCGATTTTGGGACAATCACATCTGTCCCTGTACTCACCAAGCACTTACTCTCATTAGCAGGTTTTAGCCTCACCAATTTCCTTTCAATTTTTACAACTCCCGTTTCATATCAGAGMGAGATGCAGAGTTTGTTAAGATCAACGTTTACAAAGTGACGTGAGACCCCAAATCTCCTTGAAGATACATGAGTCCTGAGAGTCTGATTTTTGAAACTGAGAAATCCCGGGTTCCTAAAGCAGCTGGAGATGGATTGGGAATGCTGTGCCAGTCAGGAAGGTGGCAGGTCCCAAAATATCCCATCTGTGCCACGCAGCCATACCCAAGGGCTGCACCCACCTCACACTGCCCAGAGAAYGAGTTCCTCTTTCTGGGGCTGCAGGAATCTGCATTTATGTTTTGTATGCTCTATAAATTTAGTGTCATAATAAAAAAAAGGATCTAAATCTCTACTGAATAATTCATTTTCACACATAGGGAAGAAATAATGACCTATATTGCATTCCATCTATCATTCAGCAGGTTGTGGAGATTGATCAGCCCGTGGGTTTCAGAGGTGCACTGTCCAGCTGTGCCTTCACCTGACAAACATCATTTAGACAAAATTCTGGGGGGACATGTGCTGGGGAGCTGCCAGAAAGTCAAAGATCATTTAAAATGCAGAATATGTCATTGCAAATAATTGGTGATGCTGGTGCATCTCTGCCCTGGGTGTCACCGCAGCACCCACAGAGGAGAGGGGCAGTGCCAGCCCAGCCTTGGAGGAGAAGGGAAAGAAGAGAGCTCAGGGCTGTCAGGTACCATCCACATCTCCAAAAAGCTGGGCAAAGATTCCCTGTGTGTCCCTGAGATTCGTAACAGGACAGGCTCTAAAGTGCACAGCACCCAGCAGCTTTGCTTGTGGTATTTGTAGTCAAAATTCCAGCAGGGTGCAGACTTAGCAGGTTGGATATTTTTGATTTTATTTTAGGCTCTCCATCCATTGACATCCACCGGTGTTTCC